TCCCTTCGGTTCCCTCCGACTGTCGGAGGGTCCCGGCTGGGCCGTACGACGGCGTGGAGGCAGAGAGGGACGTGGCTTATTGCCACTAATATAGCAGTCGGCCGCAATATGACCAACATGTCTGCACGCGGTACAGAAAGCGGGGATCTTCTCGTAGATCACTCGCTGAACAAAGGACTCGGAGCCCTGCTCAATCTCGATCTCATGAACGAGCTCCGTCCTGAGATCTATCTCGACACAGAAACGCGCCACGCTCACCCTCGTCTGAAGGGCCGTGTGGGCGTCAATACGAATCGGCTGCCCAATACACTTAGCAAGTGTAGTGATGGCAGCACGGTCGTAGAGGTGGGGTGGGAGGCCCGGAAGACGGCACCAAACAGGGACAATCGGCGCCTCTGTCTTTGGGTTAAACCCGACATAGTATTTGAATACCCTAGCTGGGCATCCACATAGATGAATCAAGGTCTTAAGCCAGACCTCATTGTAATCCTCAATGAGGTGGAAGGTCACAAGAAGATGGTTAAAGTTGAACCACTTCGATGATACACTACCCTTAAAACCCAATTTCCTAAGACCAGCAGATATATCTCGGGGAGCGGGGATAGCATAAGAGAACTTAAATACCAGGGTGTTATCTAGTTTACCTGACAGGTCGCCAGATTCGGCGTCAGTGAAACGGGCCTTCACTTTGTTCCCCTCCGAGCGAGTGATGGTACCGCAAGCATGTTCGTAATTCCCGTCGAATGGATAATCTTTCGGTGTTGGGTTTTGGGAGCTCGAGCCGCCCTTTTTCTTTCCCGTAACGGCCTCCCGAAATGAAACCGGGGCCGTGGAGGTGCCGGTGCCGGTCACCGGAACCAAATCCGGGGTTGCCATGGAAATGTCGTCGGCCGGTTGTGATGGTTCGGTGGCATGGGTGTTGCCGGCACATGCCCCAGTTCCGGCCGGCTGGATATCTCCGGCACCGGACATATTGCTGTTGTTATTCCGTTGGATTTTATTATCTGCAGAGATGGGCTGCTTGCTGTAGAGATGGGCTGCAGGGGTATTGGTATCCTGTTGGAAATCAGTATAGGGATCGGTATTTGAGGTGGTGGAATTGGGCTGAAGGGCAGGCCCATCATGAGTGGTGGTAATAAGGTTGTACGAATTGGGTGTGATGGTAAGTTGGGTATGGTTAGTGGGTTGGGGAATTGACCCAAGGTTTAAATTGTGATGTGGCCCAAAGACGGATAGGCCCAATACTGACCTGTTGTTGTCCGGCCCATATTCTTGTCCTGTGAGCTGAGGGGAATTGAAACCAGAGGCGCCGTCCAGCTGTCCATGGTGTTGTCCGAAGTCAACGCCGCCATTAGGAAGAGAAGAGCTCGGCGGATTTAGAGATTTCGCCGGCGAGAATACTGGATCTTGAAGAAGGTTCACCGGAAGGGTACCAATTTGAAAGTCTGACAAGAAAACACCTGGTTCGATGTTCAAGGTCTCCAAGGCCGGAGCGAATAAAACCGAGGTGGCGACCTCTGTGTTCGGGATCTTTGAGGAAGAACTTGGGATAGCACTTTCAAGCGATTCAGGGAATAATGCTTGAGGGGCCAATCTCTTAGCTTCTTCTTCGAATGGCTGGACATTTTTGATCGAGAATTCTGGTTCTGCAAAAATATGGACAGCGTGCGAGATTGAGATGGTAGATTGATTTAGAGAGTTGGTTGGATAAGTTTCAGTAACAGTATGGTTTGCCAGCGCCTCTAGGGACGGCGCCGGCGAGGGAGACGGTGGCATAGCTAGGCGGCGGATGGGGAAGGAATGGGTAGAGAGAGAAACCTAGAGAGAAGGGAGAGCATTTTGCTAAGTTGTGTCTTTCGTTTTTCGATGTTGCTAGGTTAGTTATGTCTAGTTGCTAGGTTAGTTGTCCGATGTTGCTAGGTTAGTTATGTCTAGTTTCTAGGTCAGTTGTATGTTGTTGCTAGGTTAGTTATATCTTGTTGCTACGTTATTTGTATTTATTGCTAGGTTAGTTGTCTAATGCTGCGATGTTAGTTGCGTGGTGTTGCTAGGTTAGTTTTTTGTTGTTGCTAGGTTAGTTGTTAGTTTTTTAAGAGTTGATGAATATGATTTTTGATGCAATATTGTTTTATGATTTTGCAATGTTAAATCTAAGAGGTTGCAAGGTTAGTTTTATGTTATTGCAAGGTTAGTTGTCAGATAATGCTATGTTAGTATTCTGTTGTTGCTATGTTAGTAGTTTTATGTTGCTACGTTAGTTGTCTGTTAGTGCTAGGTTAGTTCTAGCAAGTTGCAGGGATAGTTTTTTGTTGTTGCTAGGTTAGTTCTATCTTTGTTGCTAGGATAGTTCTATGATGCTGCTAGGTTAGATATATGTAGATACTAGGTTAGTTATTTGTACTTGCAAGAAACATTTCTAACAAAAAGAACAAAAGATATCAAAAGACATCAAAAGAATAACTTAAAAGGCATCAAAGAAGTTTCATACCAAACACTTTCAACAGATCCCAGATCAAAAGACATCAAATAAGTTTTTTTCAGAAACATATCAAAACAGATCAGCCAACAAAACAAACCCAACAAGTTTTTAACAGATCACACTCATTCTATCTTTATTCTAAATTTGATCATGTCTACATCAGCCACAAGGAAGAAAGAGCAGATTGTCCCTTCTAAGATATCATTTTGTTGCTAAGTTAGTTCTTTCCTACTGCTAGGTTAGTTATATCTTGTTGCTAGTTTAGTTGTATGTTGTTAGATTAGTTATCTAATGTTGCTAGGTTAGTTCTCTGTTAATGCTAGGTTAGTTATCTTATGTTGCTAGGTTAGTTATATACACTGCAAGGTTAGTTTCATCACGTTGCAATGTTAGCTGTATATTGGTGCTAGGTTAGTTATATATCTCTGCAAGGTTAGTAGTTTGTAGTTGCTTGTTTAGTTCTATGTAGATGCTATGTTTCTGGAAAAATAATGCAGTAGCAACATGTAATGCCCCACTTTTATTTGACGAAAGTCAAGGACTTTTCAGAAGTTAGCGGATTTATTTTTGAAATTCTTTTCATAAATCGTTTGGCGTTACTCGATATATAATCAACATTTACAAATTTTCACATATCAATTACTCGCAAGTAATTTAAACATCATCAATTATCTGGAGTCAAATTGAAACCACCCTCACAGGGTTTAAACAAAGTTCTGAAATCAATTATTAGCAATCGGGGCATCTCCCCAAACCAGTGTTCGCATTTATCAAATCATAGATAATGCAGGACCGAGAATAGCGAAATCACATAAATCGGGTAAGCAGACCGAGAATACAGCTCGTCAAACACCTACGATTATTAAAACAGCATATAAACGTCTATCCGACACCAAGATCATCATAATTAAGGAACGTAAGGTTCACACCATCAACACACAACAAACTCAGCCCATATAAGTCACATAAGCAAATACATAAAAGAATTTCCATTTTCGAAAACATAACATAAGTTTTTCGAAACTTAACCCAAGAAGCGATTTTGAAAACAACATATCTTGCAGCATATAAGTCGAATAGACACGATGCAGGTTGAATATGAATCCTAAGACATACCTTTAAAGATTCCAAAACTCACTCAATCTGAACTCATATATCTTGAACTTTAAAAAATCATATAAAATCATCCAAAACTCTAATTTGCATGATTTTAACTTCCAATGAAAGCTTATAATATGTACTACAAGTTTCATGATGTTTATATTTTCACATAACCACATTAAGATTATAAAAAACAATCCAACATGTAAATCCTAAAATCTGCCCGGAATTACAAAACTGCATGCATGTACAACTTCAAAAATTCATATAAAATTCAAACCAACTCCGTTTTCAGAAATTCCAACTCTTAGTGATAGATAACCGGTAGTACATTAATTCATCAAAAAAACATTCCTCTAAGAAATAAGTTCTTGAAGGTCAAAACTGAATCACAACTAAGACTTAAAATCTGCCAAAAATCAATTTCAGGATGCGAACAGCACTTCAATTATTAGACACTAACACACACTACAAAAATCGGATCATCATGAATCATACACCATTAGAAACCTAAGAAGAAGATCTACAACTTTCATGAAGGTCACGTTTTCATTTAATCACTTTAATGCGTAATAAACAGGTCAGACAATAAATTAGTACATGCTGCCGGGTCTTATTAAAAGCTGCTCGCGCGACAATTTTGTAAAAATCATAACAAATTCGTTTCAAATTGGAATCACATGACTCTAAAGCCCATTGAAAGCTAACGAAAAGAACTACATATTACATGATGTACTGGATTTCAGATAACAAGTATTTCAAGGGTATTTCAGCAGTGCAACAGAGACCATAAAATCATGCTCTTCATGAAATCTCCAAGAACTACAACAAATTTATCCTCCATAACCTAATCACACCATTTAATACTCCAACCATGATTAACGGCAACAACAACAACATTATTAATCATGTAAACAAAAGAGAGTTCCACCATTTAACGGATATATCAAGCATTCACGACAAGACGACATAAAATATCACATAAAATCACCTACATCAATCATATGGAACCTCTCGAAACAAACTACATATATAAAATCGAATATATGAATAGCCATCGAGTGTTACCAATCACCACGGGGAGGAGGTGTTCGGGTGCTCGAAAGGACA